AGATCACAAGGAATCTACAAAACCACTTTTAGCACCAGCGAGTTCAGCAAGATTATAGCATACAAAATCAAATATACAAAATCAACTATATTTCTATACACTAGCAATGAAAACATGGAATCCAAAATTTAAAATACCATACCATTTATAATCACTCCACAAAAATTAAATACTTAGGAGTAAATCTAATATTTGCATGCTGAAAACTACAAAACGCTGGTGAAAGAGATCAAATTATCTCCAAATAAAATGGAGCAAGGTAACATGTTCAGGAGCTAGAAGACTCAACCTAGGAAACATATCAATTCCCCCCCAAACTAACATAATATACAGGTTCAACACAAGTCCTATCAAAATCCTAGTGAGGATTTTGCAGATACGAACAAGATTACTCTAAATTTCTATGGGAAGGCAAAGGAACTAGAATAGCTTAAAGATTTCTGAAAAAGAAGAATCATGTAGGAAGAATCAGCCTACCCACGTGAAGACTTTCTATAAAAACCCAGTGCAGCACACTGTATGGTACAGGCAGGAACTAACACACTGATGAGACGGAGAAGGGAACAGAACCAGGGCCACAAGGAGCCCAGCGCACGAACAATCAAGCGGTAATGGAAGATGTGGATATACACGCCGGCTAAAAAATGAACTTCAATCTAAACCTCTCACCTTACCAAAAAAATTTTTTAAAATATTCAAATGTAAAACTATAAAATGCATAGAAAAAAACATCAACATAGGGTTTTGTGAAATTCTTAGACATGATACCAAAAGCACAATTCACAAAAGTAACAAAAGCAATAAATTAGACCTCACCAAAATTAAAACACTGGATCCACTGAAGTCTCTTTCAAAGGATGAAAAGACCAGATACAGACTGGAAGAAAATCCAAGTATGTATGTGGCAGAGAACCCATAGTTAGAATATGTAAAGAACTTTCTAAACTCAATGAGAAAAAAATTATAAACAACACAACTAGAAGTTAAAGACGGAAAGACACTTACTGAAGAGAATACACAAATGGCAAAAGATGTCCAACCTCAGCAGCATTAGGAAAATGCCAATGAAGAACACAACGAACTATGACTCCACATCTACCAGAGCAGCTACAAGCAAAACCAGTGGCAACACCGAACGCTGGCATGGAGAAAAAGGAACTGTATCTCTCAAACACTGCTAGTGCGAATGTAAGATGGTGTAGCCGCTCTGGGAAAGAGTTTGGCAGCTTCTTAAAAAGCTAAATATATACTTACCATACAACCCAGCGATGAAGTTTCCTGGACATTTATTCCAGAGAAATGAAAACCTATGTCCACACATATGCGCACACACACACAAATGTACACAATTGTTCACGGCAGCTTTATTTCTAATACCCAGACACTTGAAACAACCTACACAACAGCTTGGATGGGTCTCACAGCATCATGTTGAATGAAATAGGCCAGCCTCAAAAAACAAATCATATAATACAGATATCATTACAATATGGAAAAAATAATATAAAAATTTTAAGTATCACATATTGAGTAATTTCAGTTATGTAACATTCTTGGTATTAAAACCAGATGGAGAACTGATGAGTGGTTTCCAAGGCCAGGGATCAGAGGGACAGGAGTGGCTGTGGCACGGGGAAGCTCCCTGTGGGGCTGCAATGGCTCTGCATCTTGGCTGTAGTTATGGTAACACAGATCAACACCTGAGGAAACCACAGAGAACTGCACACAGACACTGTGCCAAGGGTAAGTGTCCTGCTTTCATATTTATTTATATACGATGCAACCATCAGGGTAAACTGGGTGAAAAATACAAGGAACCTGATATGGTTTGGCTGCGTCCCCACCCAAATCTCATCTTGAATTTAACTTCCACAATTCCCACGTGTTGTGGAAGGAACCCAGTGGGAGGTGACAGAGCTATGGGGTGTGTCTTTCCTGGGCTTTTCTCATGACAGTGAATGAGTTTCACAAGATCTGATGATTTTAAAAATGGAGTTTTTCTGCACAAGCTCTCTCTTTGCCTGCTGCCATCCACATAAAATATGGCTTGTTCCTCCTAGCCTTCTGCCATGATTGTGAGGCCTCCCGGGCCATGTGGAACTGTGAGTCCAAATGAACCTCTTTCTTTTGTAAATTGCGCAGTCTCAGGTATGTCTTTATCAGCAGTGTGAAAACGAACTAATACGGGACCCCTCTATACTATTTTTGCAACTCCTGCAACTCTCTAATTATTTGCAAATTCAAAGTTTTTTTTAAAAATTATTTTAAAAGGTAAAAGAATGACAATATATACCTTGCAAACATTGATCAAAGAAAGCTAGTAATAGTTTTATTGAAATTAGACAAAAAAAAAGTCTTTACAGAAGAAATAGTATTAAAGACAAAGGAGAAACATTTAAAGACAATAAAAGGCCAATTGAATAGATTAATAATCCTAAATCTGCATCATCTACTAACACACTCTAAAAATATATAAAGCAAAAACTAACATAACTAGAAGAAGTAGACACATCCACAATGATGTTTAGAAACTCTTGAAGTCTCTCAGCAACTGATAGAAAAGCAAACCATGAACAGCAACAGATTTGAACTAGACAACCAATTATGACTCCATTGACATACAGAGCAGTGCACTCAACCACTGAAAACTAATAATTATTTTCAAATACACAAGAAAATTTACTACAAGTTGTCTGTATGATGAACTATAAAGCGAGTCTCAACACATTACAAAGATTAATTTTTTTTTTTTTTTTTTTGAAGCAGAGTCTTGCTCTGTCACCAGGCTGGAGTACAGTGGCATGATCTCGGCTCACTGCAACCTCTACCTCCTGGGTTCAAGCGATTCTCCTGTCTCAGCCTCCCCAGTAGCTGGGACTACAGGCATATGCCACCATGCCCAGCTAGTTTTTTATTATTAGTAGAGATGGATTTTTACCATGTCGGCCAGGATGGTCTCGATCTCTTGACATCATGATCTACCCTCCTTGGTAAAAGGATTACAGGCAAAAGCCACCATGCCCAGCTAATTTTTTTAAATTATAAGTATATTCAATGGCCACATAAAATTAATATACAAATTAATTACAAAAAGATAACTGCAAAAAACAGGCTGGGCATGGTGGCTCATGCTGTAATCCAGCATTTTGGGTGGCTGAGGTGGGAGCTCAGGAGTTCAAGATCAGCCTGGGCAACACAGCAAGATCTAATGATGATGATCGTACTAATAAAAAAGATAAGTAGAAAAAAAATCTCTAACTTTGGAAATTAAGCAACATAGTTCTAAATCAAACATGGATTTAAAGTAGAAATAACAATGCAAAGTAGAAAATATCTGGGCCCCGGCACGGTGGCTCATGCCTGTAATCCCAGCACCATGGGAGGCCGACAGGAGCAAATCAGTTGAGGTCAGGAGTTTGAGACCAGCCTGGCCAACTTGGTGAAACTCCATCTCTACTGAAAATACAAAAATTAGCCGGGCATGCTAGCACATGCCTGGACTCCTAGCTACTCGAGAGGGTGAGGAATGAGAATCGCCTGAACCCCGGAGGCAGAGGTTGAGGTGAACCGACATCACGCCACTGCACTCCTGCACTCTAGCCTGGGCAACCGAGTAAGACTGTCTCAAAAAAAAAAAAAGAAAAGAAAAGAAACTATTTTGAACTTAATGACAATACCTGTCAAAACGTAAATGTACCTATTTTTAGAAAGGAAAAAGGAAGAATATTGGAGACCTGAGCATTCATCTTAGGAAGCTAGAAAAAGAAAAGCAAGGTTAAAGTCAAAAAAAAATAATAATAATAAGAGAAAATAAAGGGAAGACCAGAAATCAACCAAACAGGAATCAAACACCCTAAGAAGACCACAGCATGACTTAACACAGTATTCCTCAGAGGGCGCCTAAGCGGAGTCTAACTGCAAGGAAACAAACAAAACAAAGTGCGAAACATCCTGTACAATGACTCATCTTCACGCTTCAAAAACGTCAATGGAAGGAAAAATAAACACTGAACTACTACTCCACATTAAAAGAGACTTTAAAAAGATGCCACCTAAATGTGACCACATCCTGTACTAGGGAAAACAGGCTACAATGGACATTACTGGGATGATAGACAACATTGAAATATAAACAAAGTAGATACAAAGCATTGTATCAATGCTAAATTTCCTGAATTTGATAACTGTACTATGGTTATATAAGAAAATATCTATTTTTTAGAAAATACACACTGAAGAATTAAGAGGAATGATCAACTTAGTCTGAAATGACTCAGAAAAAATAATAGTAATATATTAAAAGAATAAAATAAAAGTAGAAAAATGTGGGGAAAAAATAGATCAATCTGAGTAAAAGATATACTGGAGGAATATAGGCCCATATCTATCTTTTGGGAAGAAAAAGAAACACCATTTATAAATGTTTGTAGGGAAATCAGAATTAATTCCATCATGCATTAGCTATAATTTTCCCTAGTTTTTTTTTTTTTTTGAGACAGAGTCTGTGTCTATCGCCCAAGATAGAGTGTAGTGGCTCAATCTCGGCTCACTGCAACCTCTGCCTCCCGGGTTCAAGTGATTCTCCTGCCTCAGGCTTCCTAGTAGCTGGGATTACAGGTGCTCACCACCTCGCCTTGCTAATTTTTGTATTTTTAGTAGAGATGGGGTTTCATCATGTTGTCCAGGCTGGTCTCGAACTCCTGAACTCGAAATGATCTGTCTGCCTCAGCCTCCCAAAGTGCTAAGATTACAGGCATGAGCCACTGCATCCAGCCTCCAGCTTCTAACCATTAAAACTTCCATAAAGTAATGAATTTGGCTCTCCTTTCCTTTCATATTAGCATTGTTTGGCTTTGATTAATGTACTAATACTCTCCATGATGACATTTAGAGAATATCTCCTTGAGTTTATATATTAATAGAGCTAGTAAGTCTATTAGGAGCTAAGTATCTAAAAAAAACTCAGCACATAAGAAACTTGGTAGCAATGGCTAACAAACCTGGTGCAGACGAACTTCCAGCCGTCACAGACAAACCACTCCAGTCCTCTTTTCCTTTGCGTTATCCTGGCTCGTGGTAGGGTATGGTAATCACTTTCCTCATTCTCAAAGCCTTCTTCAGACATCATTAGTGGCATTTCATCCAAATGTGCAGACTCATCCTCCAGTTGGTACCTAGTTAGGGTGAAAAACAGAATGCTAAGACAGGCCAAGCTGTCTTCTTTACAGTTTCAGTGTTTCATTTAGGGACAATCTCTCCTCAAAGTAAGCTGTCTTCAGCTGAGGTAAAGCATTATAAATAAGACTGCAGAGGCTGCTTTCTTTTGCAAAGGAATAAGTCAGGTAAGGTAAAAAAGCTGCCCAACAAGGCCTGTGCTAGCTGCAGAAGTCTCTGTTAACCATGCTGTGAGCGTAATCCGCGAGGCATCTGTGCTGCAAATGGCCAGCCTGACAGCACAGCCAGTGCTGCTCAACATCTCCTCACTGCACTCAATCCCTTCAGAAAAACACTCTTCTGAAACATGACCATAGCAAAGAATGTTCACTCCAAGCAACATCTAAACACTATGCTACGCAACTACATCATCAACCAACATTCTAGAGACTTTCAACAATACGTAGTTGTCTCTATCTGAAATGAATCAACCTCATCCCTTGGCTTGCTGAAAGAATGGGTATCTCTGGGGATATTTATGTCCCATTTAGTCTCTGTTACTCTCTTTACTAAAACTTGCTATTCAATGAAAATATCTCAACAACCTGTCATTATCCCAGAAGAACCCACAAGTTGGCTTTCTTACTTTTTCCACTGAGACAAATGCTTGATGCAAAATTTTGTCTATCATCCCAGTAATGTCCTTTGTAGCCTTTTTTCCAAGAAACAGGCAGTCTACCATCAAAACTTTTATCTTTCCTCAATCACAAACATAATTTAGCTTTAAAAAATATAAACTTACTTTTTGAGTTTAGAACGTTTTTGAGAAGAACTTGTCAGAAACTATAATGGTGATTCAACAGTGCTATCTTACTGAATTTTGAATTGTTAAAAGAAAAGAACGGTCAACTCAGAAATCTATATCCAGCAACAATGTCCTTCAGGAATGAAGGCAAAATAAAGATATTCTCAGATGAAGGAAAACCAAGAGAATTTGTTGTCAACAGATCTGCCCTGAAAGAATGCTAAAGACAGACTTCAGGATGGAGAAAATGATACCAAAGAAAACATGGAACTTCTAGAACGAAGGAAGAACAACAGAAAGTTCTTTAAAATATGCATGAGTATTAAAAATAAAATGTATTAAATTGTCAGATTGTTTTCAACATAAACAGATGTGAATACATATAACAAGCTTAACAAACATAAACAGATGTGAATACATATAACAAGCCTAACAGGAAAGAGTAGGCGACTCTATAGCTTACATGAGGTGATAAAATACTAAAAGTGGACAGTGAAAAGTCAGCCATATATATTATAATCCTTAGAGTAGGATTTCCCAGCAGAGGCACATTAACATTTTGGGCCATAGAACTCTGTTGGGGTGAAGCTGACTTATACACGTATTTATTCCACAGTGTCCTCAGCCTCTATGCACTAGATGCTAGTAGCAGCAAAACACTCGACCCTTGTTGTGGTAATCAAAAATGTTTCCAGACATTGCCAAACATCCCGTGGAACACAAAAATCACAATCTAAAGGAAGTACTTTAAATATAATGGTATTTAATGTTAAAAGATTAAAAGTAAGAAAATGAAAAAATAAACAGTTAATCGCTGCATAATGATGTTCTAGTCAACAATGAATAAAACATTGTCCCATTATAAGGAAGCTGAAAAATTCCTAACACCTAGTGACATGACAGCCATCATAATGTTCACAGTACAATGCAATACTCGCATCTCTGTAGTGATGCTGGTGTATACCAAACCTATTATACTACTAGTTATATAAAAGTCTAGCACATACACTTAGGCATAGTACCTAATACTTGACAATCATAACTAATGACTATGCTATCGGTTTAGGTATTTACTATAGTATACTACTATTATTTTAGATTATACTCTCTATATTTTTGAAAAGCTAACTGTAGAACAGCCGCAGGCAAGTCCTTCAGGAGGAATTCCAGCAGGAGACATTGTTATCACAGGAGACGACAGCTCTGTGTGTGTTACTACCCTCCAGTGTGACAAAATGTGGAGATGGAAGATCGTGATATTGGTGATCCTGACCCTGTAGGCCTAGTCTAATACGCATGTTTTTGTTTTAGTTTTTAACCAAAAGAAAAAAAAAATTTTTAAGTAAAAAAAAAAAAAAAAAAAATAGAAAAAAGTACATGGAATAAGAATATAAAGAACATATTTTTGTGCAACAATATTTTCATGTTTTAAACTGTTATAAGAATCAAAAAGTTTTTTAAAATTTATAAAGTAAAAAAGTTACAATAAACTAAAGATTAATCTACATGCTCTAGTCCTGTACAGGTATATGATTTTTTGTTTTCTACTGTATTTTACTATGTTTAGTATGCTTAGATACACAGATACACAACTGTGCACATCTGCCTGCCCTATTCAGTACAGTAATACACTGCACAGGTTTGTAGCCTAGGACCAATAGGTGTGCATTAAGCTCTCGTCTTGGTCTGTGTGAGTACACTCTAGGATGGTTGCACAACATTGCCAAACACATTTCTGGAGTACAAAACTCAGTATCAAGAAAAAGTATTTTAAATATTAACAATATTTAACATTTAACATTTCTCAGAATATCACGTCCACATGTGACTGTATATAATTCGAACACTAATCAAAGGAAAGCCAAGTAGCTATATTAATATAAGACAAAGACATCAAAAAAAGAACTGCCTAGCACAAAAAGGGTCATAACACAATAATAAAAGGATCAAATCACCACTAAGATCTAAAAGTCCTAAATGTGTATGCGCCTACCACCAGAGCTTCAAAACACAAAAAGCAAAAGGAAAAATAGACAAATCCACAACAGTAACTGAAGACTTCAAAACTCTCAGTCCACTGTCACCACTGTTACTCAACATGGTACTGAAAGTCCTAGCTAGAGCAATCAAACAAGAGAAACATATAAGGGGAATCAAAATTGGAAAGGAAATAATCACATTATCCTTGCTTGCTGCTGATACAAATTCATATTTGCAAAAACCTAAAAACTCCACAAGAATACTATTAGAACTAATCAATTCAGTAGTTGCAAGATACAAAATCAACATACAAAAACCAGTAGCATTCCCATATGCCAAAAGTGAACAATGTGAAAAAGAAACTAAAAAGCAATCCCATTTACAATAGCCACACATAAAATTAAATACCTAGGAATTAACCAAAGAAGTGAAAGATCTCTATAATGAAAACTATAAACACTGATGGAAGGAAATTAAAGAGAACACCAAAAAATGGAAAAAAAAATATTCCACGCACATGGCTTGGAAGAATGAATATTGTTAAAATGTCCATACTACCCAAATCAATCTATAGATTCAATGCAATCCCTATCAAAACACCAATGACATTCTTCACAGAAATAGAAAAAGCAATCTGAAAATTTATATGAAACTACAAAAGACCCAGAATAGTTAAAGCTCTCCTAAGCAAAAAGAACAAAACTGGAGGAATCACATTACCTAACTTCAAATTATACTACAGAGTCAAATTACACTACAGAGTTATAGTAACCAAAACAGTAAGTTACTGGCCCAAAAACAGACACATAGACCAATGGAAGAGAAGAGAGAACCCAGAAACAAATCCACAAATCTACAGTGAACTTGTTTTTGACATAGGTGCCAAGAACATACACCGGGGAAAAGACAGTCTTTTCAGTAAATGGTGCCAGAACCGGATATCCATACACAAAAGAATGAAACTAGACCTGTATCTCTCACTACATATAAAAATCAAATTAAAACAAATTAAAGGCTTAAATCTAAGACCTCAAACTATAAAACTATTACAAGAAAATACCAGGGGAAATCTCCAGGACATTGGTCTGAGCAAAGACTTCTTGGGCAATACCCCACAAGCACAGGCAACTTAAAGCAAACATGGACAAATGGGATCACATCAAGTTAAAAAGTTTCTACAGAAAAAAGGATACAATCAACAAAGAGACAACCCACAGAATGGGGGAAAATATTTGCCAACTACCCCTCTGACAAAAGACTAGTAATTAAAATATACAAGGAGCTCAAACAATGCTATATGAAAAACTCTAATAATCTAATCAAAAATGGACAAAAGATCTGAATAGACATTTCTCAAAAGAATATATACAAATCACAAACAGGAATATGAAAAGGCCCTCAACGTCACAGATCATCAGAGAAATGCAAATCAAAATTACAAAGAGACATCATCTCACCCAGGTTAAAACGGCTTATATCCAAAGGACAGGCAGTGACAAATGCTGGCAAGCATGTAGAGAAAAGAAAACTCTTACACGCTGTTGCTGGGAATGTAAGTTAGCACAACCACTGTGGAGAACAGTTTGGAGGTGCCTCAAGAAACACTGACTACTGTATGGTCCAGCAATCTCACTGCTGGGTATATACTTAAAAGGAAATCAGTGCTATCAGATACCTAATTCCTACGTTTGTTGTAGCACAGTTTACAATAGCTAAAATTTGGAAGCAACCTAACTGTCCACCAACAGATGAATGGATAAAGACAATGCGGTACATATACACAATGGAGTACTATTCAGCAGTGAAAAAGAATGAGATCCAGTCATTAACATCAACATGGAAGGAACAAGAGGACATTATTTTAAGTAAAACAAGCCAGATACAGAAATATAAGTATCATGTGCCCTCACTCATGAGGAAGCTTTAAAAAAAAGTTGAATTTATGGACACAGAGAGTAGAATGATGCTGATAAGAGGCTGAGGAGAGTAGCACAGAGTAGGGGACAAAGAATAGATGGGTAATGGGTATAAAAATATAGTTAGATACAAGGAATAAAATCTAGGATTCAGTAGCACAACAGGGCAACTATAATTAAGAGTAACTTATTGTGTATTTCAAATAACTAAAAGAATGAGATTGGAAAGTTCCTAACATAAAGAAATGTTAAATGCTGAAGGTGACAGATATGCCTGTTAGAAAGAAATATTCATTGCCACAAAAGAAATTTAGCACTC